TGACTCCTCAAGGGTTTGGAAACAGGAATTCTCTTCAGCATCTATCTTTTTTTCCAAGACTTCAATATTTTTTATAAGTTCATTCTCCTCCTTATAGCTTTGCTTTTTTTTCATAAGAAGCGTAACAAATACATTTCCCTCTAATATACGCCATCAGCAATTCCATGAATAGCGCATCATCCACTAATAATTCGAGGTCTGTCATGTTCTCGAAGCTTAAATTTTCCAAATGAGAGGGGTTATGGGGAGTCGCCGCGTGAATAGCAACAAAATCTCTAATGCTTCTTTCTATCAACTTCGCAAATTCATTGTCTCTCGAAAGACTACTATTAAATTTCCACAAGGTCGTTTTCGCCTTTCCTTGGAAATCGACGCCAAGAGATGGGAACGAATAGAGGCATACCCATAAGAAATATCGCATGCAGTAACCCTAGAAATTACATCAAGAAAGAAATCAAGACGAGCTTGCTTAATTGGAGGGGCTTTTCTCCGCCAGGTAAAACGTCCTGCTGCTTGATTCTGTTCTCTCCAGACACCAACCTACACATTAGCTTCCATGATGTCCAGAACAATTTTTCTAGCTCTAATTGTTAATATTCACATAGTTCATACAGTCCTTCATAGGCTCCAGCATCAAGTTCTAGTCACCACACAGTATCAGAGAGGAGAGGGCACAATTTTGCTCAATGATACCAAATATTTCCGAGTAAAAAGCTTCGTCATCCTTATTGGTCCACATACATTACCAATGTACAGAGATTGCCTCTTGTCAATTACGAGCTTCAGCAACAAAAAGTTTCCATCCTCTTTCTGATAAACAGGTTTAGCTAAATAGAAAAAATTTACGTTTGGTTTAATCAAGAGAGCTACGCCCCTAGACTCAGAAGAAAAAGAAGGGAAGAACGCATCGCTACCCTATTCAGATCGAATTAAGTAATGCAAGTTATTGACAAAATGAGTATCCTGTAAACAAATTATGCTTGCATCTGTTCTAGTCTTCAGGTAATGGAAAACATCTCGCCTCTTGCCGATCTCCTAATCCCCGACAGTTAGCCGATACAATTTTCAGAGACATTTCAGAACCAAAAAGAAAGAAGGAAAGAGAGAGAGAGAAAAAAAAGCAATGAAAAAGTAATGGGGTAAGGTACCCGCTCTGGGAGAGTGGCGATTTGTAAGGGACTGGGCACAAAAGACAATTAGGAAAGAACGTGTACGCCCTATTTATTCTCATAGGCTTCCCATCGACTTCTGATCTTCGAGAAGACTTGGAGAAGGAGATTTGTACCCCGGCAGACCACCCTGGTGCTCTGGTGCTGCTCTTAGCGCAACTTGTAGGCAATCTCCTCCAAGCGTCTCCGTTTCTCCCTCAGAGGAGGGTCGATCTTCATAGATATTTTCTTGCCTGCCAGCATACCTCCATTAGAGAGAACTACCTCCCTATCTTGTACGGAGAGGAAAGCGACCATCATAGGGCGAAATTTCACTCTAGGGTCCTCAGGGTCTGCGTTCTCCGGAATACGAGGACGAGGGAGCCTGTGTACAGCGTAGAATTTCATGGCTGAGACGGACGAGTCTGGGATACGAAGGGTGGAGAGAAAAAAACCACGAATGGTTTCTTCTGCGTTTTCCTTTTCTCCCTTGGGCAGTCTCGACACCACCACATTCCTTTGCCTTTGGTATATCTCTAGGGCCAAAAGTCGCTCTTCCCTGCTAGACAAGGATTCCCCAAAACGCGTCTCCATATCAGGTAGTTTCGATTTCACAATATCCTCTACTACATCACTATCCGCCTGACGAGAACTCTCAATGTCATCGACTCTTTTCTTCATGTTATCAACATCCGTCTTCATTGCTTCGAAACTACGACTCAGAGTCCACTCTAGCCTTCAAATCTGCTTGTTCTGCGATGATAGCATTCAGCTTCGTCATCATCTTCGTCTGGTGGCATCATCCATAAAGCTATCTAATTTCTTGAAGTCAAATTGTCCAGGATAGCTGTCTTCGCGTCGAGCCATGCCAATTTGAACGGAACGAAGCTTATTCACATAAGGGGGACTGACCGATCGAAGTTCTGACGAGTCTCGTTCTTCCTTCTCGGAGGTCCCAGTAAAGGATGAAAAGGCAGACGCAGCGTCCTCGAGTACGTTCACCAATTCGCAAACTTTTGTGTTGACGAAAGGCTCGATAGACATTTGCCTTTCCTTCCTTTTTTGGTTGGGCATGAAACGGACTCAGGCCCAGGCCCACTATAGCACCACTCAGTCAGACATGGAGCAGACAGGTCCACGCTCCATGGCTTCCACAGCGAGACTCTCTTTGGTTATAACTTTCCTGTATTTCATTCAAATTCCATCAAAATGGTATCCAACATAACAAACACTTTACACCCAGAAAAAATGAACTAGTGTATTTTTTTCCGGGAGAAAAAAATCTACTGGTATAAATGTTCCCCTCTCAGAATATTTCATCGCCCCCCCCCGCCTGGAATTTGCTTGACCACAATATGTTTAGCTTCTCCCTACCCATTTCAATATATGTTGATGTTGCCAATATTTATGTTTCTTTCTATCGTTCGCATCATTTGACACCTGAGGCTATTCCCAGTATGGGTTAAGGTTATGTTCCATGTCTGCTCGTCTTGCTTTGCGTAAAAGGAGACAAAAATCAGCCACGTAAATAGACATGTTGGTTCGAAACATCTCCCTCCTCTCAGTTGCCATGAATGCGCAAATGTGTGAAGACTCACGTCTCTTTTTACGATCGAAAGGACAACGGAAAATGACGTATCCACGAAATTTTGAGTCAAAGGAGGAATAAAAAGTATGCAGAATCTTTTTGATCTGTCATAAACCACAGGATTCTCCCTCTTCCAAACTGTTTAGGTAGGGTTACCATATTTCGGACAGCAAGAAAAAGGACGCTTAGAAGTCGGACGGAAATTTGAGGGCGAAAAAAGTGGACATGTCCAGGGAAAATATCCGGACGTATGGTAACCCTATGTTTAGGTTCCTCTAGTTATAGAACTCACGAGCCGCCACTGGGTTCGACGCCATCGAAGTCGAGCAGAAAGAGGATCTGGGAATGGTGAATCGAGAACAACCGAAAACTCAACGCTAGCGTTGTCCCTTTCCCGAGCAACTTTAAAAAAACCAAGATATCACTGGCGAAAGCGTGAAGTGGGCAAGTGCGAATGTTTGAAAGAATAAGAAAATCTGAGTAATTGGTAATGATCCGTAATGAGCCGTAATGCACGACGAGTCTCTCGCGAGTTTCTGCTTCCGAAACCAGCTTCCGCTCTTTTTTTTTTCTTCCCCGTTGGATTCCCCAAAGATTCGCACTTAGCGAGAAGCAGAACGCAGCGGAGGGTAAAGCTTGGAATATGCCAGCTGTAGCAGCTGACTTCGAAATAAAAGTAAGACTGGAAGACATTCGGGAGAAAATGGCAAGGACTCACCGCATCGCGTCGAGCTGCCACGGCGACGGTAGAAGCGAAAACGGAGCGGCAGGGACGGGAACAGACGCGTCCAGAGGTGCAGGCCTTCCTTCCGCGATTCCGGAGAAAGTCGAGAAGTCCCGAGTTGGTTTTGGAGTCGGTATCGAGCAGGAATGGGGACCCCACGGACGCCTTTTCCTATCCATGCTTCGTTCTCGTGCTTCTCACTCGAGACTTCCGTCGTTGCACTTTTTTCTCTGAGCACCCGATTCGTTGCTCCAACCCCGGACTCGGACCCACCGTGGCCTAACCCTCGCTCGCCTCCGTCTAATGGTACAAACGTGAGGCAGCGATGGAACCCTGGACCGCCCCGATGACGAAGGCGAATCCTCTCCGTCGCGCCTGGAAAAGTTCGAAGACGCCACAAGCGACGGCAGCTGTATCACGCGCCGTCGTGGCTCCCTTGCACGCGAGGCGACAAGCATTCCATCGCCTTCTGCTTCTTGTAAAGCGTTGAGGCTCCCAGCCTCAGTCGGGCGACAGAGCAGCCCGTGCTCTTCTTCCAGGCCTGAGGGTTTCTCTAGCTAGAACGTGGAGCATGGCAATGTCATTGCACCGTTCCGCCGGCCAACCATCCTCGGGTCTTTCTTTTCACCATCGAGTCATCCACAGAGTTGCTGTCAGTCGTCGTGATGTCGCGTTCATTCCTAGCTTTTTCAGGCTAGAGGATGGCTGCATCTCGCGAATCCAGGCAAACTTTTATGCGGCGCTGTTGCATGAAGCTGCAGCCGCAATACTTGGGCTTGCTTGGAATGCAGAATATAATGTTGCCAAATCCTTGAAACTCAACGAACAACTCACACTCAGCTACACTGCCTTGCTCAAACATGTCCAGGCAAAGAGGCGAAAATCCGAAGGATATCCGCCCTCACGTTTTCGACTCTCATTTTTTCAGATAGATATTTAAATGTAACTACAAGAATAACAGTGGAATGCCAGAATAGCAAAAGCGCACAGCAGAATGTTCGAGGAGCAAAAACAAAAGTACAGCAGGTAGCTAGAATAGGGAAGGGGAAAAAAAGAGGAATGCTGAAATAGCAAGAAAATAGGTCCATGCTATAATAGCAAAAATGCACAACAATATGCTAGACTAGCACAAAGCACAGCAGGTTAATGGCATAGCAAAAAAAAAACACAACCGATCGCTAGACTCTTCAAAACAGCATAATAGTAATTTAAAAAATGTTAGATTCTGCTACAAATACTGTAGCCAGGTCTGGCAACAATGGCCAGGGCCAGGTGTGGCCCAGCTTGAACCAATTTCATCATGCAGGAGTGGAGAGTGGGAAGATATACAACTAAAAGCATTTGCAATTGAAGTAATGCATGCAGTGAAGCTGAGGGAAGAAATCCATTGCATCATTATTCTCATGCTGAGGATATTACTGGTTTCCACTGTTTTGTATGGCTCTCTGCAACTTAATCAGGATTTTAAATAAATGTTTGTCCTCCCCATGTTGTCTTTCCAATGAAAGAGAGGCTGAATAAAATTATGAATTTTTTTTTAAGGGTCAGCTACATTTCACTGAAAAATATCACTTGTGAAAATAAGTGAAAAATTCAATGTCTCAGAACTTTGGAGATCCTTCTCAGGCTTTCTTCCTTCCCTAATGCATCCAGGATCTCCAAGATGCTTGGACCCTCCTGTAACACAATTATTAAAAACATCAAAATGTGCATATGAGCATGGAAAACAATGAGAAACATCTACTTGGTACAGATTGGCATGGAGTCATCCCAGGACAATGACAAAATAAAAAATGAACATTGGTGCCTTGTGATTCTTGGAATTAGGTTTTTGATTAGATCCTGCTACCCCAGTTATGCATTAATAAATGGTCAGTAACTTCAGGACACAGTAGAGGAAGGCTATGCTTCACTCAGAGTCACATTCAACATTTACAAAATCAATACATGCATTACAGAGGCAACAAGATTTTTCTAGATATTTGGGATTGTGTTATGGTATTGACGGGAACCGAGGGCATGACAAAGAATGAAGCACTTACCTGAAGACCAGAGAGAGCAATTCGCAAGGTGTGCATCAAATGAGAATATTTAAAGCCAAAGCACTGAGCAAGATGTTTCAACCCAAACCCCATTTCTTCCTTGTTTAGACCTGATGGCAGCAGCTTGAGGTACACTTCTACCTCTTCCAGCATTGCTTATGAAAAAAATAAGGGAAAATACAGTCACAGACTCTATCATGCATCTCAACAGTTGTATCATATATCACCATAATTCTTATATTTGAACATATTTTTCTAGAATATTTGAATTGAATATCCAAAATACAGGGTGATTCAAAAGTCACTCCCTGACTTATTTTTTTATATATTTCCACAGATTTGAAATATTTTAAGGTCCAATTAGCTCACATGATAGTCAAGTGGTGGGAAACTTTTTGAGACACCAAGCTTCCAGTTTCTGGGCTTGGAATGGCAGAAGGCTACTCAGTTTTGCAACAGTGCAAAATGCCTAACTGGACTGACACATTTGGTTCAGTGACTCTTATGCAGCATGAATTTTGAAGTTTGAGATGCTCCTGATACCAAAATGATACTAAACACATGCAATACATTTTTTAAAACTTGGTGACTTGAGAACCCAGGAGTGTTTCATCAGCATGAGCTCAATATGCCAAAACTAAATGTTTGGTGTGCTCTTACTGCAAAGGAATCATTGAAGCTTTTTTTTTTCAACATGATGACAGACAGACAACAAATCTCTGGTGAAACTTATCACAAAATGTTTCAGATGTTTGCTATTACTCAATTAGAGCCCTTTGACCTCGATGAGATCATCTTTCAACAGGATGGGGCTCTGCATTGTTGTGCGGTCTTGCAATGGCTCTTAAACCATCACTTCCCTAACTAATGGAAGATGCTGTCCAACTCACTGGGCTCCTCAGTCACGTGACCTGGCCTCAGTTGACTTTTTTTCTGTGGGGCTGTGTAAAATGTATGCTATGAAGTCATACAATGTAGCAGATTTGGAAGAATGCATCAGGACTGTAATGCAGGAAATTTCCCTGGAGATGTCCTAAGTTACAAATGAAGTTCTTTGGAGGTGGCTGCATTGAAATTGGTTTAGTGCATGTGGAAGTGATGTGAAAGTTATGAAGTTAATTTTCTCATATTGAAACAAAACTCCCATAAGTGCTCTAAAGGATGATGTGTTTGGTTTACATGGATCTCTTTCGTTCTTGGAGAAATTAATTTTTTAAACTAGGGAGGGACTTTTAAATCATCCTGTATAGAGCGAGAATCCTCAGAATTTCAGCACATAGGTCACTCCAAGACATCTCTTTCAGCCTCCCAACATGCCATTACAGCAAACTTTATCCTAACATAGAGGAAATGCAGAAGGAATCTTTCATTGTGTGGTATACATTCTTTCATCCCAAAGAATCTTTTATAAGAAATATCTGGCTCCTCTGTACCACCAGCTGCTCAGTAACCCCCTAATTGATCATTCATATTATATTTCAGGAAACACAGTTGAGAGTGGAAGTGGAGTCCTCAAGAAGAGTCATACAAATAAGCTTCCAGTACCAAACTCTCTCATTCTAATGAGAGTTTGGTACAGTTCTTATTGTTCTTTCTTATTGTTATTCTTCAGTTTAGTTCTTATTGCAAGAACCCAAGAATTTTCTCAACAAAATATACAAGTACCTCACTTTCGCATATGCAATCTCTCAAGGCCTGTTAAGTATGCAAAAAGAAGGTTGGAGCCTTGAGAAAAGTGTCTGCCTGAATTTACATCCACCTCCATGCATCAAAGACACCTCTCTCAGGAACTCCAAGGCCAAATGCAACACAAGGGAGACATACATCTCTGAACGGGTGAGAGATCTCTGGCAGCATTGTGACTATCAGGACTCGTCCAGAGGAAGTGAAACGGAGGGGAGGCAAGATCTGAGAGGCGGGTTACTCGAGGCAAGCTCCAGGCTAGCACCTTCGAGAGCCATTCATCCCCCTCCCTCCTGTCACACACAAAACACCAATACATCATTCTCATCCAATAACCATTTGGAAATGCTGACCCTGAGAACTAATCCAATAATAAGACTTTGTTTCGTTCAAACCCAAGTTGTGACATGAAGCACTGAATTCATAATCCAACATCCACTTGTGTCTAGGACAACTGGATCCAAATAATCACCTAATTCACATGGATTCACACAACATTCATCACTTTTCTTAAATTTCAAGTACTGTATCATTGGTTACCACCAGAAACGATTCAGAATTGACTGAGTCACCAAGAACAACTTTTTCTTAAATGTTTATGTTCTTATTCCTGACACTCAGGGTAACAGGCTAACTTCAAAGGGATTCATTTAAAAGAATTTGGAAATGAACAGAAGGTATAATCAAGGTTAACATGAGTTTCAGTCTTCTATAGAAGACATTGTCTGACGCTGGAGAAAAAGAAGAAACTGCATACAAGTAGAATCCATGGTGTTGGAGGAGGTCTTTCAATTGGGAGACAAGGAGGCATCGCTCCTTGGGGTCAGAGATCTTCTTCTCCAGGGCCTGACGGTTCAGATCCTCCAGCCGCTCAAACTTTAGTCTACATGAGTTCGCATTCAGCCTCTCTGGTGCAAACTGTAATCCAACTCACATGTCTCAGTCACCCAACTTATCAAACCACACCAAAAACAAAAAATCAAAGCCCAATACTGTGTTGACAATAAAATTCATTCACTTCGCAATTACATACCAGTCATAGCACTGTCATAGTAAATTTAAATGAATCTTCCTCTTCCTGATGCAAGACCAAAACATGATCTTCTAGCCAAATAAAAGATGCCGATTGTGCATGATGATATCAGAGTGTTTCCAAGGACAAAGTGCCTTTCAGTTGGCTACTGTGAACTACTTCATCCTCTTGCTAAATGAATAGATTCAGATCAGGAGTAAAGTGGGTACCTTGGTAATAAGATCATCAAGGGAATGAAGGACATCTTCACGATCCCGGAATCCACCCCCAATCTCAGTGATGAACGACAGGAGGGCTTCTGGGTAGAACCCCTTAGAACGGAATTCTTCCACATAAACATCCCCTTGACGCTTGGACAGCTTGGACCCGTCTGAGTTGAGGATCAGAGGTAGATGTGCAAATGCAGGCATCTCCCACCCAAATGCCCTGTCAATCGTTTTTGAGATTCTTTTTACTCTTTACTTATGAGTTACCCCCATACCTTAATGCACATGGTGCAGGTAAAACAACTTCTGTTGAAAACGTTTTACCTTATACAGAATATTACTCCATTTCTCACTTTCAGAAAGCATACAGGTAAGACAATTGGGAACTCTACAGGGTTAGTCAAAAGCCCTGCCCACCTTTTGATCGTTTATAACTTTTGTTTGAATGCCAGACTGAATTGAAACCCACTTTAGAAGATTTAGGTGACAAGAATATCCTCTACCTAAAGATATGTTTTTGTATTACATTGTTGAGTGCATTTATTTTTCCAGAGCCATGAATAAAATTCCCTTTTTGGAGTTTTCTTCAGTGTATTCAAACTTAAAAATGTAGCGGGCGCAGCAGAATAAATGGCGGGATCAGTATTCCATCAATATATCGTCCATTTTTCGTCGCTTAGACTTGAACTTTTCCCCAAAGATTCTTCATTCAATTCTCTACAAAGCAGTGTATTTCGTTTTGCATATGCTTGCAGCGTTTCTTCTTCAGATCATGAAAAGTAAAGACATCCAAAACCTTGTCATTACTAAACGCGAAAATCGGGATGATTTGGCGAAAATATTCCGGGATTTGAACAGTGCCTTGGGTCTTCTCACAATCGAACAATGGTGCTAGATGACCTCCAAACCTGGCTCAATCGTACTGTCGAGTCTTCCTCGATGTCCACGCATGGCTCGATCGAAGACAGCCATTCAGAAGGGCAAGAGGCGGTTGTAACGGAAGAAACGCGTGTCTGCTCGAAAGTTGGTCAACGAACTCGACATTTCGGAGCGGAACGTTCGTCTAATGCTCAAGAATGATCTCCAGCTTCGGTCCTACGAGTAGATTATGGAACCACTCCTCACCGACGACCACAAGGCCGAAAGGAAGAAGTTTGCAATTGAGTGCGTGACAATTTCCAAAAAGAAGACACAATGCGCATCTTTTCCGACGAGAATATGTTCGACAATGACGATGTCTACAACTCTCAAAATGATCTAGTATGGGCAGTGGACTGTGCCGAAACCAATGAGAAGGGTAGCATCAAGCAGAAACAGAAATTTCCTCAGAAGGTCATGGTGTGGCTCGATGCCTGATTCAAGAGTGTGACACCGCCGGTCATCTTCGAGAAAGAGTCGGTTTATCACGATCGATACATAGTTGAAGTGCTTCCGGTGGCCCTCAAATACGGCAAGGAGGCCTTCGGCGACGACTGGACCTTCCAACAAGATGATGCGAGGCAGCACACTCATCAACTGTCCAATCAATGGTTTCGAGACAATTTCCCCTCGTTTATCAACTCGGACCATTGGCCAGTGGCGTCTCGTCGGGGTAGGCACGTTAGGCCGGGCCTAACCTGGGCCAGACAAGAGAGTGATCACCGAGAGAGTCACCGTGAATTTAAGTAATTTTTACTTCTTAACTTCTACATGACAACGTTTCGGAATGCCTCCAGCCATATGTGGACTTTCTCGTGGGAGTCAGTAAATTTGGTGAAGTTCTGGAAATGAGTAAAGCCATAAGAAAAGGGTGGAAGAATGCTGTCTGTTAAATGAGTGATGATAGCGGGCTTCCCCGCTATCGCAGATAAGTCGGGTCATGCGCAGTTCCAACCTAGACCATCCTCTCCCTGGCCTAACCTGCTCCTATTCACTGGGAGCCTGATGGAAGAGTTGAGGGGGAAGGGGAAGTCTCCCAGTGAAGCGAACGGAATGAGACTTCGGCCAGAGAGAAGAGGCCTGAGTGCAACGCTGCCAAATCTATGCAGCATTGCCAGATATTCCACGCCCTACTCCTTCCACTCCGATGAAATTAGAATCCTGCAAGACTAGTTTTTCGGCCTCGTTCACCTGTTTTATCAGCACCACTACCCGCGTAGGTCTTTTATTCCTTCAGGTCTCTCTCTTCCAAAACTTTTCTCCTGCCCCCGAGCTTCCCCCTGGCAGTGATTTATGCAATGGGGTTCGTGAAGCTGGTGTCACGTTTCCCTAACCAATCATATCAATGGTCATGACTTTTAATATTTCTAAACGTTGCATTAATATAGTTATATCTTACATCATTTAATAATACATGTCTGAATGTAATAGGAGAAATTTTAATACTTGAATATAATAAGCAAGAATTAATTGGCTTGCATACGTTTTCTATAATAGTACCGATGATTAAGTGAGGTGTAATGTGAAAGCGGTGATAAAGTCCTATTTGTACCGTACTATAGGCTTTGCAAACGCAAAATTATAGAGACGGGAAACATCATTGCTGACTTAGTTCTTAGTTTTTAGATTTAGTTTTAGATTTAGTTTTAGATTTAGAAGAAGTGAAAAGATGAAAAGCGCGAGAAATTCTCGAGAACGGAAGGCCCACGCCAGTTCTCCAAATTTTTCCAAAAGACTTGGCAAAGGCCGAAAACTTTTGCTTTCCGCAAGGTCTGGTACGAAAACTTAAAAAATGGGAAATGCTGAGGGACAATTGTAGTTGGTCCGGAACCAAACCAATGGTTGATGGAATTAAAATTCTTAGTTTATGGCAATTGGGAAACTAACATCTAAAAAAAAATGTATGAGAGCATTACTGACACTAATATACTTAAAATAATACTTGAGAAGCAATTCAGAACAATGATAATTGCCGGAAAAAAAGGGAATAAACATATCCCACGCCAGAAGCTCACGACTCGACGAAAGAAAGGGTACAATAAGAAGTGATGGTGAAGTATAAAAAACGGGGAATTCGGTAACAGGCCTCAAACAGACGAAGCCCATCACGTTGAAGTGACAGAGCGAAGATTGCCAGGACAGCTCTCCCGGCGACATGTAAATGAACGACTCTCCCAGCTCAGGTTCGACTTGTCCCGAGAAAGCTAAATTCGTTTAGGGCGCCCTCTACACTTGGCAGTCAGGGCGCTCCACTTCGTTTAAGACGCACGCTAAAAAATCATTTTCCGGGTTTCCGTCACACATATTTTCTTGGCATCCTGGGCTTAGCCCAGTAGTGTAATGAGAGTCTCATTTTTCGGAGGGCCAATGAAGTCTTATGAGAGCCTAAAAACCTTATGTAAGCTAGGGGGAAAGTGAGAGCCAGGACAGCCCTCCTTCCCTGGCTACGTCACTGGCCTACCCCACAGCATGAACCACGAGCCGCCACTGCCATTGGCCACCGGACAGTCCCGATTTGAACCCCTTGAACAACTAAATCTGGGACGAACTTGTCCATATCATCAATTTCGATTATGTGACGTCGAAAGGGACTCTGATGGACGAACTGAAATGGGTTGTGAAGCGGATTCGGCCAGAAGTCGTGTTAGAAAGTTGTTCTTCAGGGGCTGATCGCTTAAATTGTGTGCTACAAAATAGTGCTGATCATTTGCGCGATCAAAAGCGCATAATTTGTGAAGAATTGAATAGAGAATCTTTGGGAAAAAATTTCAAGTCGAAGCGACAAAAATGGACGACATATCAACAGAATACTAACACCGCCATTTATTCTGCCGCACCCATTACTTGTTAACCTTGAAAACATGATTCGAATTCAAATGGTTGTACCTAAGTCTAATAACCTAAAGGAACCTTCACATTTCCTAGCCTTTTCTTGCTTGTAGACTAAATGTATTATGGTGCCCAAATTTACAACGCAGACTCAAACCTGTAAATGTGTGCATGCTTCGGTGTGGAAACAAGCCATTCGCAGCCACGGAGGACATGGGTGATGGCCATGAGATGGTCGTCAATGACATTTGCCAGGTGATATGTGGGATATCCGTCTGCCTTGAGGAGCACTGGATCCCCCTCCAATTTGTGCACTGCATATGAGATCCTACCATGCAGCATGTCCACAACATCCTCCACCTCCTCCTCCAACTGTTCACAGAACAATCACCATTTGTATGACCCTATTAAAAGGAACATTCCTCAGGACAAAAAACATAACATATAATTTATCAAGGAGCTCCATACAAATGAGGCTGTGGTAGACAAGAACTTTCTATGACTTGAAGGATAAGAACACAAATGCATTATACCAAAGGATTAATCAAAGTTGAAATATAAAATAATGGCAAATTTTCAAATTAGCAATGAACAAAAAAACAAGAGGTAATCCACATGAAGGCGATGAGGTCTCACCTGATTCAAATAAAAGTGATCCAATTTCATTGGAGCTATAAGAACTTGGCTGGGAGTATTATTTGACACCGTATGATGTTAAGCCAGAGACCTCTTAATTTGCAAACACACAAGACAAATTACAAACATGCAAACTACAAAAATAAGATGCAGAATGAATGATAGATTATAATGTACTAAAAAGGTACTTTTGTTGCAATTATATCCAACAAGGACTTGTCTAGGGTGTGTTCCAAGCCTTCCTCCCCCTCCATTGCAGAACACTCGTTTGGTCCTGCAATCCCCCCCACCCTACCCACCTGAATACCTCTTAACACAGATCCCTCTCCTTTTCAAAATCCTAAACAAGTCACTGATACCCCAATATTGCGTTGACATGAAAAAACAGTGCGACCTTTTGTGGATCTTCCTCGAGCCCGGCTCCGTATGATGTAATGAATTAGAGAGAGGAGAGCCTCCCACGCTGACGTAACATTCATCTGTTCACTTTCCCTCTTCGTCTCCTCGTCCTTGGGTCCGCCTGTGGACGTTAGCGAACGGCCGAGGGCAGTTGTTCGACTGACCACATGGGGCGAATGCCGTCTGTCTCGAGTCTGCAGTGGACAGTTGATCTGGTGTTCGCGCGTCCTATCGCCCATCCACGCGAGTTTCATAGTCTTCTAGACCAGCGGTTCCCAGACTTCTTTGAATCACGACCCACTTGCTGACGTACAGAAAATTTCGCGACCCACCGGAGTCAAGAGCGAGGCTTTTCAAAGTAATTATGACGTGAAGAAAACTGATCGATCTTTTCTGCAGGGCGTGTTTTATCCTGAGCGGATGCGGATGTTGTGATTTTTTATACTGGGAAAATGTACGCGACCCACAGTTTGAGAACCGCTGTTCTAGACCTTCTCGCCTAGCCTAGTGTTCGGAATCTCGAACCCCAGTGACCGTCTGCGCGCATCGTTTGTCCGGAAAGAGAGACTCCGTCCATGGAACCCCCAGCCTACGTGAGGCAACTTTCCTTATTGTCCCTGTATGCAACTGCCCGACAGTGCAACATAAGCTCTGGTTCACCTTTTCTTGCAAACGCCCCATCAATTACTGATTGAGTCTGACGTGATTAAGAATCTGAAGAGTCACCGCGAACAGGAAAGGGGGAGAGATAAAACGCTTCGGTCATGTCTGGAGATTTCCTTCTGGTGACACCGCCACTGCGGTATAAAACGAACACGCAACCTTCCCGATTGTAGTCAGCTTTAACCCCTCACGTCGATCACACCCCTTAGCGTCATCGCTCTACCTTCAGATCGATCTACAGTTAAGAATTCTGAGTACTTTTCATTTCTGGACAGTTATGTTATAGAAACTTTGCATCCTCAAGGGTCAACTGTAAAAACTTGCAGAGGAGTTTGATGTCCATTAGAGTGACACGTATGATATTCGATAAGGGAGCAGAAGGATGGAAGGGGAGGAGGGAGCTGGGCGAGTCAAAGTGACGGTCGCTAAGGGGGAAGTACGAAAACCAGAAAAACCACTTTAGAACCTTGAGCCGGAAGCAATGGGGATCTCCTTGGAGGAGCCTGCGTTGAACCTCCTTCGCCGAGAGCTTGCGGCAACGGTTATCGTAGCGGACGACCTCGCGGTTGCGCAGCTGCTCCTTCCGCAGCAGATCCAGGCGATGCTCCGAGCAGAAGCACGGGTATGCCCGACCCGTCTTCAACAGTTCGTCCGCGTGAAATCTACAGGGTGAAAATCGGAGCGAGGGATGCTGAATCTATGCACTTTTCCAAGGCTTTCATCATTAGTACTTTGGCTGCAACGGTATCATATTTTGTTTATATCCAACATTAGGATATTCAACTATTAAACATAAATTACGACGCCCAATAAAAGATGCTGCTAAATCTAAATAACTGTAAATGTTCGCATTGGCTATCCATGGCATCCAGACCTACAGTTGATCCTTCAGGCGATCGAAGTCTACCACGACATTAGGTCGTGCCTAGCACACATGTTCCGGATAAATCTCTTCCTAATGCTCTATCAGCTCCCCGCCTCATGCCGAAAAAAAATTAAGGTGCGAGCGGAAAAATCCCCGCCCCCCGTTGAGTGCGCAGATTTTCGATGGGAATATCTGCGCACTCAACGATCAGCAGTTTCCATCTGGGTCGCTCAATATTTGAACTGACTTGACCGAAACTTCCAAATTATACGATCGCATGCTCCTTCCAGATATCTTATATAATATCGGTCGGTATCAAATACAGATGAAATATTGTTGCAGCTCAACTCAATCCTTTGGCCCCCCCAAAAAAAACAAGGAAATGAGACATCCTCATGAAATTTGGTTCCCAAGTTCGCAGCAGTGACTCGAAATCGAATATCGTTTTATCGTAGAATGAAGATTCACAAAGAAAACTTGCCAAACATGTCCATGATAGCACCAGTTTCCTTTTCCCTCACTATTGGACCATTGTCCCAAAAGGAAACTTCACCAACTTGCTGGAGCGTCTCATCGAGGGAGTTTACACTTGAAAATGACAGCGAAGTCGAGGGGAAACGGAAACTGACCACGCTACCTCTTCTTCCGTTCGCCGGGCGTTCGACAAGTTTTCCCTGCGTTGCATTCAAACATTGCTCGATTTTCCTACACATCTTCAAGAGTTCCCGTTCCTCGTTTCACCGATAAACTCATTCCGGGTGATCATTTTGGCAAGTAATATGATCCCCCCTCCCCCCATCCCGATTTAAATGGGTGTGTGTGGTAAATTTCACCCTTCGGCCTTGAAACTCAGATCGATTTCGTGACACACTGCTACAAATTAATTTACTAAAATTTATTAATAAGCTCAACTCCTTCGTGTTGCTTCTTTCTTTGACGAGAAATATATAGACAAGAGAGAGGCAGAAGTGCCCAAACTTTTGACACCTCTGCTCAATGGGGGATTACGAAAAGAACGAATAAAGTGGAAATCAGCTTAACCTCTTCAGTCCCTGTCAAGAATTCCGTAAATATATATAATATTCAATTTTATATTATTCACTATGTATTCCTTGGAGCAGAAAATCCAGAAAAATGTAGGCATACAAAGGAAAACAGATGAACTTTAGCCATGAATTCCAAGAGACCCTTCAAAGCGGTGCTGCCAATATTTAAAAGACAATGTTCCACGCGAGAAGACAGCTGAGATCTCACCGATAAATGTGAATCCTCTCCGACTGGACGTAGGGTCCAAACGCCCCGCCGACCCCGGGTCCTTCGTCGGGAGCGAGGCCGAGCCAGTCCAGGGTCTCCACGAGGCGCTGCGCCGCATCGGGAACGAGGCGGGACCGATCCGTGTCCTCGATCCGCAGCACGAACGCCCCGCCCTTCGCCCTCGCAAACAGGAAGTTGTAGAGGGCCGTGCGGAGTCCCCCCAGGTGGAGAAATCCCGTGGGGCTGGGTGCGAAGCGCACCCGGACTCGACCCGAGTGGGTACCGAAGCGATGCGCCGCGCGCCCGAGCAGGCTGGGTCGGGTGCGGCCGAAAAGCATGCTTCCAGATCTGTCATGGGGACTGCAAAGTCATCAAACAAGTTTCACATGTTTACCCGTAAGCCGAGATGAAGCCTCCAATGTTTGCATCGACAGCCCTTGAAGTTAAAGCTACCTTTTTCTGGTGGAGGAAGTAAGCTACGGACAGATACAAAGCGACCCGGGAGCTCTCCTTGAAGGAGATCCGTAAGCCATAGCCTTTCTTCGGGTATCAGTAGGTAAATCATCACCCCTTACCTTCTGTCTCACGGTAGTTTTAGATAAAATAAAACAAGTTTCATTTCCAGGGATCCACTTCATTTGTCCCTTTTCACAACACAAAAAATGTCCATCAAAACATTTGAATATCAATATTTTTCGTTTAATATGCAACAATTTTCAAATGCAATGGCTATGCCATTGAAAAAAGGCAAGAAAAGGCATGAAAGAATATCTGGCACTGTTGTGGTTATGGCATGCAAATATCATTCATCAGTCACAGAAATGGATCTGAAAAACTTTCAACACATTTCAATGCATTGGCACCTCACCAGAGGTATTCTTTAAGTAACTAAACCAAAGGCAGTAATTAATGAGAGGATCTTTGATGGGGAACTTTTTTCCTCATCAGTAATTCTAATGTCACTACAACTTCAAGTGGGATCAGTACAAGGCAAAGTTCATTAGAACTGAGGCAACATTACCACTACATATTAAAAAAAAACCTAGGGTATACATTCACAGGCTTTTGTGGAATGTTATAAAATATTTTTAAAAAATTATATCAAATCTGATAATACACCATCAACTTAAAGCTTGAAGAAAGAGGAATTTTATATACCCTATTACAAACACCAGTTATTGAAAATGAATACACAACTAGAACAATCTCTGTGGATAATGCAATGGGATCCCCAGGGTAGAGCACATTGTTAACAATAAGCAACAAGACTGCTGCATAAATTACCATGGAGGTGGGGTAATGGGATGCTCCTGAATGCTACCATGGCAAGCATGCCCAGGCCTGACAAAACACAACAATAAAGATACTAGAAAAGGTTGTTGGTTCTTTTCTCATTGTTGGTCATGCAGGCCTCAAGTTTTAAGCATTACATAAGTATATTGACATACAGTCGTCCCTCGCCACTTCGCGCTTCGACTTTCGCGGCTTCACTCTATCGCGGTTTTTTCAAATATTGTACAGTAATTTTTATTTTAATTGTAATACAGGGGTGTATAATTGACTCGGACAACCGAGCGCGCCCTGTGTCATTTTCACTGTCTCGATCAACTTTTTAATGAATATATTTGAAAAAACCGCGATAGAGTGAAGCCGCGAAAGTCGAAGCGCGAAGTGGTGAGGGACAACTGTATACATATGTCAATAGATGTCTTGGCAAATGATTTACAGTGCCTTGGATGACATGGATTTTCCTCTCAAAAATAGAATTCAGGCTAGAAAAAACATTATTTTAAAACCTTAATAACTTGGTATCTGTGAGGAATGGAAAAGGGATATTCCCCATAAGGGAGAGTTGAAAAATATTGTGCTGTAATAGAAAAATCATCTTATGAAGATGTAGCAATATTAATTAAGTCCAGTTTCATGCAAATCAAGATGGTCATTGAAAAAAATTTATTGTCAGTATTAATATAAAGCTCTTGTGCTTTCATGTCAAGACAAGTCAACCATAATATGAAAATACATCCCAGAACATATTCCTGGAACAAAGGAACAGACTTAGAAACCAATAGTTTTTAATCCTCATTTGAAATGGGCCAAGTCTATTTCTGTCAGCTTCACCCAAATTAGATCAATAATTGACTATTGAGATATTGCATGGTGATGATTGCTTCAAGAGCCAAACACAAAAGGTATTGACTTTTATTTTGTCTCCTTCCCTCCTTCATTGCAGCCTGTTGTTACACCCTGGGAATCATTGTTTTTTCCAGCAAGTGAAAACAAAATCACAATCATTCCCTGTCCCTCTTTCCAGAGGTAAATTAGATTCCAAACATCAGGAGGCCATACCTTTCAAGGTAACCAATGCTGTTCCCCATCCCTCCTACCATGACAACATGATCAATGCATCATAACATTGCAGGAAGAATATAATATTTCACCTTGAAACAAATATTGTGCAGTTCTATTCACCATATAGTCCATCAACATCAGGATGAAACTATGTTACTTGACATCAGGATGAGGGGGAACGTCATCAATGTTTCCCATGCAGGAACGAATCATCTCAATGCTGACGGTCCAGAGTTTTTCCTGGAGGTCCACATCCAAGGCCTTAGCATGTGGTTTAGTGAGGAAGCAGTTGTTGAAGTACTGACCTCCCACTCCCTGCAATTCAGGAGCCACTGCAGCATAGATAGTTGTGGCTGCACCCTGCTGCAGAGTTTTTGTGAATGGACGGCCAGCAAAAAACAGTACCTGCAATGGAATTAGCACTCATTCTGAATTAGGCAAGTCAAAAATACCCATTTGTTCTTCAAAAAGCAGACATAATTCATTTTTCAATCCAAAGGATGCTCAACCAACATGCCAATCTCTCAGCACTACACCTATAGTGTTGTTGAGGAAGCAAGGACTTCAACTGACCCTCATAAACCATGAAGACCGCGAGAGTTCTGTATAGACTAAATTGCCAGGATGAACTGCATTGCAGCAGACTCCATGAGGTGCTAGGCGTCGATTTAGCGCATTGGTAAACAGGATGTTGTGGAGCTTGGACAAGTTATAAGCCATCATAGACCAATGCTTTGAAGAGGAGTTAGGTGAGAGATACTCCTGGGAAATGTTTGAAGTAGTGAGGCGAGTAAAACGGTGGGACTCAGATGAGACAGCCACCACTCGGGCCATGGGTGTCTTGATCAGAATGTCCCTCAATAATAAGGTCAGGTACATTTGGGACAAGTGATTCACCTAAAAAATGTACAAAGAATGTTAGCATAAGAAAAGGGCTCATTGGAAAGCATCTTGTGTCTCAACACAACACTGCTTAACATGCTTGCCACCAAAAGTAGAGAGTACTGAACATTCAGCATGTATTTCAAGCAATGCAGTATGATAAAAAATGGAAAATATGAGCTGCAAGGGGCACAATTTTTAAAAGGGGTCAATTGCATATATCCATTTGCAAGAATACTGAAGACATGCTTAAAAAGGAAGTGTTTCATGGTGCTGTGAGCATATGCTTCCACACTTCCCTATTCCAAGTTAATTGCAAGAATGCATGTTACAGAGCTACAAACTACAACAGATTTCTTTTAGAATTGTTCCTGATTGGTAAGAAAATATGCATAGAGCTGGTTAATTACATTGGTCTACTTCTCACAAAGGACAATATGGTAATTCTTATGTGAAACAGCAGGTGGATCAGTTTTAAGTCAGAATTATAAATTTCCCCAGCTGGCATTTTAATTGAGCAAAAGAGAATGGAAAGTCAACTAACTGATAATGGATTGGATGTGGAGTGGGTGATCCATACAGTATCCAATTTTACTCTATCATATCCATATGGATTTCATGTACTATCTCTAATGATGGAAGACCCAGTTGAGTCAAACACACAAACATGAAAATGGATCCTTTCGCAGGGTAATGAATATCATTTTTTAGAGTGAGAGATATAAATAAATTGTAACAATATCACTTGACCATGAATATGGACATAGATCCATCAACTAGTACTATAGTACATGTATAGGTAGATATGTTGAAATGCCATAAGTGATTAATTGACAAAATAATGAAAACACCAACCTGAAAAGTAAGTTCAAATCCATCTTCAGTCCTTGCAAATGGTACCATGAAGATCCCAGCATTAAGAATAAGATAGTCCAATCTCTGGAACTGAGCCTTGAAGTTTTCAGCAAATTCCTTCACTGACTTCATAGATGCTAGATCAAGTTCAAGGAAATCAAGCTTGGCATTTGGGCGGAATTCATGGATGTTGTCAATGACAGCCTGGGTCTTGTTGCGACTGCGACAGGCCATGATGACATGGCAGCCATGATGAGCCAGAGAGCGGGCAGTCTCAACACCAATCCCTGCACTCGCTCCAGTGACTATTGCCACATTCCCACTCAGGTCCCGACCATGAAGAACCTTTGCAAAGATGGTCAATTCAAATAATAGTAAGACATTGCGAGCCCTGAGTAGATATAAGTTTAAGCAAGAAGTAGAGGCCATGGGTATATAATAATATATGGTATAATAGGTATGATAGGTATGATAATGTAATAATAGGCATTGTTGAAAAGCTTTGGAGTCAGAAACTTAAACTACAAAAGGACCTGTTGACATTCTAAGCAAAAGTGTCTTTCAGTCACTTCACTTCTCCCTTCTTCCATTAAGTCCCATTTGGCACCCCTTGGGCCACATAAATAAATTTGCCTAGACTCCAACTTCACATTACCCTTTTGCATGCCAGAGAAAGAGATTTAAAAAGAAATTCCTGTGGTACAAGTTAATCCTATACAGTTGAACTTGGTTATAATGTCATCAAAGGGATCAGGTAAAAACCATCATTATAACCGAGGTTGCCTTTATTGGCGCTCCGTTTTCCTGTTTTCAAAATTGATGCCACATAACGTTACAACTCCAGTTTACATTGTTCATACTGCACTAGCTTCAGTTTCAAGATTGACAAAGTATTCACAATGTTCACACTTCTTTGGATCTTGAACTACTTTATACTTTAGCAAGGCTTCATCGATGTCATCTTGACAGATCTAGGAAGTTCCTTGTTTTGTGACATATTCTCATAAGCACAGATGAAGCTGTCACGATTTTCCCAAATTGTGGAAACAGATGAACAGATGTCCATGTTCACGAGGGACGCTAGCTTTACTATGAGTTCTTTCAATTAACCCCTTAAATGGACTCGCCGCATATGTGTGGTCTGGCACCTGCCTTCTCTCAATGGAATCACCGCACATATGCGTTCAAAAGTTCCCAGTTAAGGGGTTAAACTAATCAAGCACACTTT